ATATATAAATGTGAAAGAAACGTGTTGGAAAATCAGAAGTAAGAGAGTTCTTTTTATCTCCTTACTTCTGCTACAAAGTCTTCCCCTTCATTTAACTAAACACTATTCCAGGGTCTTAAATTTCTTTACTGTTAATTTATATCAATGTCTTTTCCATTTTGCTTTTGTTTCACATCACTTCTTCTATATTTGAACACACTTCTTTGTTGTTCTTTTGCTTGATGTATATTTTTAATCTCCTCAGTTTCTCAGTAATCATTTGCTATGTGTCTCCATTATCCCAAAGCAGTTTTCACTCTTAGCCATATCTCTGCCACTTTCTGGCTCCTTCAAGTTTTAGCCAATCCCCATAACTTTTTCTCATTTCTGTTTTCATAAGAAATGTATATGTAATTATGTGTATTTGCAAGTATCTCTCATTATCATCTTTATAATTTTATGAATATATGCTCATTTATATTGGCATTTCTTTACAGCTTCCTTCCCGAGTTTTTCCTCATGTGGAACTCTCCCACCCCCACCCATTTGCAATGAAAACTCTCCTCAGGATCATCGTATTTGCTTAACTTTTTAGCCATGTTCTGTTTTCTTGAGGTACAGTGACCAGAACTGTAAAAGAATTAAAAGGTTGGGGTGATTATTCCTTGGTTTTCCCTCAATATATTTCATAGTGATAGTTGGCATTTTGTTTGTCTTTTTGACTCTAGCAGCTAAATAATTCAGTGTCCTTCAGGAGCTGTCTACACCACATCCTAGTCTGTTCCTAGACATTCTATAACCTTATATGTTAGTTGATTATAGGTATTGTTTAAATCATTTCTCTTTAATTTTTTTTACTTCTTTTTTATTTTTTAATTAAATTTATTGGGGAGACATTGGTTAATAAAATTATATAGGATTCAGGTGTACAATTTTATAATACATCATCTGTATATTGCATTATGTGTTTACCACCCAAAGTCAAATCTCCTTCTGTCATCATATATTTGACCCTCTTTACCCTTTTCTACCTCCCTTCCATCCCCCTTTCCCTCTGGTAACCACTAAACTGTTGTCTGTGTCTATGAGTTTTGTTTATCTTTGTTTTTTGCTTTCAGTTTTATATACCACATACGAGTAAAATCATATAGTTGTCACATTTTCTGTGTGACTTATTTTGCTTAACATGATAATCTCAAGATCCAGCCATGTTGTTGCAAATGTCAGTATTTCATCCTTTGTTATGGCTGAGTAATAAAATCAGAAATGAAAGAAGAGAAGTTGCCGATGGATACCACAGGAATACAATGATCATACAAGAATACTATGAAAGACTATATGCCACCAAATTAAATAACCTAGAAGAAATGGACAAGTTCTTAGAAATATATAATCTTCCTAGACTGAATCACAAAGAACTGGAAAATCTAAATAGACCAATTAGCAGTAAGGAAATTGAAGCAATCATCAAAAGCCTCTCAAAAATAAATATTGTGTTATATTTGCCCATGATACAAATTTTCTACTTTATGATCTTGAGATAAAACAGTATGTATACTATTTTTAAAATGTACACACATATCCAATTCTAAAATTCCAATTTTAGAAAATTACCTATAGATTTACAGAAGAATTTATCTCCATGGATATTTATTGTACTATTGCATTATATTAAAAAATAAAATAGTATAAATATCTAGTAGTAATAGATTAAGTAAAAACTAATTAGTTTTATTTTAAAAGGTGAAATGATATGTGAAAATGGCCCCTGTGTATTATAGAAAAGAAAATGTAGGTTTTAAAACTATGTGAACAGGGTTTTTTTATTTTGTTTTGTTTGTTTACTAATTGAGATAGTGTGTCTTTTGTCCAAATTAGCACATTTTTGATAGTAAAAGGGTACTATCAATAATTATACTGAATTAATAGGCATAAACTGAGTCTGTAGCCTTGTTGAACATTCTTACCAGCCAACAAGGCAAAAATAATTCTGATGGTCTGTTTTATCTGATGTTTGATTCAGTCTTTTTTTAACTATTATAATTAGTTAAGAATTTATTTAGTTAAAGTAAAAAGCAGAGTACAAAATTGTAAGTATGACAGCCTAGTTCCAATGATGAAATGTAAATAGGATAGCAAGGGTTACTTTTAAAATGAAAATTACTCAGTGCTGGAAGAGTTTAAAGCTACTTTAGTAGTGATTAAATCTAAAATTAGAACTGTGGGACAGTATGTTCTGTTTACCTCTGCTTAATAAGTAAACATACAGATTTTGATATAGTATCTACAAAGGACTTTTATTTTGTGATTCATCTAACCAATTAGGAGTTTAAAATAGACACAAAACAATCTATTCTTAGAATTCTAAAGATTCTTTCTTTATTAGCTTAGCCATAACTATATTATTTTGTATGAATCTAATTTACACACAGAGAGTATGGGACTAAGTTTCTTAGATCAAAGCCTCAAGACAGACTTCTTTTCCTCCATTCTATGGGCCTTGGAAATATCATATAAAAAATGGTAATTCAAAAAACCTTAAATAGAAAGATATTGAATAGGAAAAAACAATTGGGATTCCTGTTTTAACAAACCTGTCTTACTATAGAGTGTCTTGAAATTTAAGATGCTACAATGCTTTATAAATAAGTCTCAATTTACAATAGTTTTTTAAAAGTATTTTAAAAGAGTGCTTTCTTTTCTATAAATTGATATTTTATGATAAAGTAGGAAGAGTATACTTAGTCTATTTATCTTCGTAGGTCATTTATAGTATCACATTATTTTCTAATAGCAGAAAAAAAAACATTTTTATAACTAGGAATTTTTTATACTGTTGAAGTTGATATCATTTCAGAGATTATTTTTTAAAAGTGTTCCCCAAAATATTTTCTTCTCCAATAACCTCGTATCAGGATACTTTAGCTCAGTTATAAATAAAGGTAGTCTCGTTTTAAAATTAAAATTGTTCTGATTTTATTTTTTAAATTTCTTATGTTCATGTAAATTTTTTTAATAGTTTATCTTTTTTTGTAAAACACCTGCCTTCCTCTCACATAAAAGATAAATCCAGATTTTTCCGAATTGTGAAAATGTAATTATACAAAAATACAGTTATGTTTAAAAGAATGTTTTATTGCTAGTGATTTAATTTGCAAACCCCTGTTGTTACAGGATCTTAGTGGAGGGTTGGGAGGAGCATTCTACATAGACTTTTTTTTCTTATTTTTTATTTCTTGATTTCTCAATTACAGTTGACATATTATATTAGTTTCAGGTGTAAAACATAGTGATTGGACATTTATATAACTTACAAAATGACCACCACGATAAGTCTAGTACCCATCTGACATCATACAGTTATTAAAATATTACTGACTCTATTCCCTATGCTGTACTTTATATCCCATGACTGTTTTTATGACCACCCTTTGTACTTCTTAATCCCTTCTCTTTTTTCAATCATCCCCCCAACCTCCCTCCCATCTGGCAACCACCAGTTTGTTCTCTGTACCTATGAATTTATTTATGTTTTGTTTGTTATTTTATTTTTTAGATTCCACATATAAGTGAAATCATATGGTATTTGTCTGTCTCTGTCTGACTTATTGCACTTAGCATAGTATCCTCTAGGTCCATCCATGTAGTCACAAATGGCAAAAGAGATCCCTTGTGCACTATCGGTAGAGTTGCAAATTGGTATCAACTATTTTGTTTTTATTGGCTGGAAAATATTATGAAGTTGACTATAGTAAAGCAAGACTTGTGGTGTAGTATTGAAGGGGCCAGAGATTCTGGACTGCCTAAATTCAAATCCTTCCTTCAGTATTTACCAACTGTGTGGCCTTGAGCCACTTAATAGCTCTGGTCTTCAATTTTCTTATCAATAAAATGGAAATAACAGTGCTATTCCATGGTTTAGAACAATGACTAGAACATGGTTAACAATTAAATGTCAGATGTTATCATTAATATTGTTTATCCCTTGCCCTTAAAATGTACACAGTTTGCATCATTGCTATATCAGTCTAATTCCTATCAACTCATATGGTCAGGAAGAAATATATCTTTTCTCCCTTTAGGAGACCATCACATATATCCAGGTCTGCATTTTTCCCCACTACTGTTTTAAATTTAAGTCACTTTATTAAGAATCCTGCAGTTACTTTTAATCTTTGCTTATACTGCCAAGAAAGATGAAATTTGCTTAAAATGGAATTAGAATGACAGATTTGCCAGAAGAAAAAATATGAAAAATGGTTTTAAATGAAGATTAATGAGCTTTTGAAAAGCAATTTAAGCTAAAGTGCTTTTAAAGAAATTATTGGTAAATATTTGCGAAATGAATACCTAGCTCCCTGGAGCATAAAAAAATTAATAAGTACGTAAGGTATTTATTAAGTATTATAGATATTTGGCATAGGTTTTATTCTTCAGTATCAATTCACAAAGGTATATTATTCTTCTGATAATAAACTAGAAACAAGCCATCATTATCTCTTGCCTGGACTCCTGCAATAGCTTCCTAACTCCAACCTTCTCTGCCTGTACCCACTTTTAGTCAATTTGCTATATAGTAGTTAGCAACAGACCATGTCACACTTCTGCTCACAATCTTCTCCTGGTTTCCCATTCCCCTTAGAGTAAAATCCAGAATCTCTAATTGGGCCTAGGAGTCCAACATGATCTCTTCCCCTCCCCAAATCATCTTTTACAATTTTACCTCTTACTCTGCTCCCTTGGTCTTTGGGGAATGAACCAAGCAGGTTCCTGCCTTAGGGTCTTTACACCTGCTATTCCCTGGGCTGATGTCCTTTCTCAGATATCTATAGGGCTCACTTTAGCCCTGCCTCAGGTCTCTACTCAAATGTTACCTCATCAGAGAGGCTTTCCTTGACCACACTATGTTAAACAGCACATAAACCATACCTGCCAACATTCTCGATCTCCCTATCCTGCTTTATTTTTCTTCACTATACTTATTACTATTTGACATAGTTGTTTGCCTGCCCCTCCACATTAGAACGTAAACTCTAAGACAGCTTACCTGCTTTGTCCACTGTTTTTTCCCTACTCCTGGAACAAAACCTAGTTTGTTGAATAAATGAAAATTATTAATACTTAAATGTACTCTTAGCTTACTACTTACTTATCATAGAAACAAAAGAGAATCAAGTACATTTTCTTAGGCTTTCAAGCTTCTTTAGAAAAATGAGGCTAAGACTAGATAGGAAATAAGGTATTGCTAAGTATTAAAGGTTAAGACAATGCTAAATGCAGGAACTTCCCAGTCATAGGTATATGCCAGTTGGTTCCTGCTTCCCAACCATCGTGGAAATCCTCTTCTCTCCCTTCCTGTGCCTCCCTAGTGGTGCCACCTGATGGCTGACACAGACCAGCCTGACTCAGCCTATTCCCTGGCTACTCTCTTTCCTTGCTGTAAGTAGCCAACTGTCTTGCATTGCAATTAGTTTCATCTTGGTCAGTCTCTTTCTCTCATGCACATCCTCTTTACTGTCTTTGCTCCTTCTTTTGTTCTTAACCAGTTCTCTCTTTTATCTGTTTCTTCTTTCCTTCCTCCTTCGTCCCTCCCCCTCCCCCATCCCTTCCCTCTCACTCTCCCAGTCTTTCTTTCTGTCTTTCTTTCTTTCTCAAAAAAGTCCCTGATTATGATTGGTTGGCAGAAGATTAGTTCTTGTATATGCCCCTTCCAAGAAAATGGAAGATACAAAGTTTTAAATTAATTTATATGTAAAACAGTTACCTTCAGACTTATAGAGGTCCCTGTCTACTCTTTAATTCTCCTTTAATTAGCCTGTTTTTCCTCAAACACTTATAGTCAAATTAATTTTCATATTCAATTTTAATTTCTAGCATTGCAGATCTATTACTTTCTATTTTTCATTGGAAATATTTAATTATCCCTAAAAACATGGAACATTGAAACCAGAAAAGGGGTGGAGAGGGCAACTGCATACTCATTTTGGAATTATCCCAACTGCCCAGCCATATTAACAGTGATTTTTCTATAGGAAAAAGATAGGTTGAGTTTCAAAAAAATACCTTAAAAGCAATTACATTACATTATATTACAAATACAATTTCTTTATAAGTTAGACATTTCTTATGCTATTGTTTTATTGTCTGTGTTCGATGAGGAAAAAATCAATTATTTTTCTCAAAATCAGTATAATCTAGGATTTCCCAACATATGTTCTGCAAAATACTAATCCCTTTAGATACTACTAGGGAGAAAAAAGTTCTGTCATCAAATGGCATACCATATACCACCCTTGAAGGTTTACTTTACATCTCCAATAAATTTACCTATTTATTTTTAACCATTATTTGCAAACATATATGACTACTAAACCCTTATCTCATTTAGGTCTTGTTAATAACCCATGGAACAAATGTGAGAAACAGCTGTGATTAAATAATTCAGGAATGAACGACTGATGATATTTAATAATAAATTGTTGAGGGATTTTATATAAGTTATCATATTAAACCTAAAATAAACCTGTGAAGTACAGGTATTATTATTATTATCCTTTATCGAAGAGGAAACTGAGGTTCACAGTGATTAATAATATGCTCAAGGTCACATGACAAGTGGATTAAGCATTTGGATCTGTTGACAAAATCCATATATATATAGTCTGTTGACAAAATCCATATATATAGTCTCTAGTCTCTGTGACCTTTATGTCATTTATGAATGTTCAACTAATGAAAGCATGAGTTATTTTAAAATATTGTTATTTTTGTTACATAGATATTGCTGGAATTCCTCTGCCTCAGAACCTGAGTGGATACTCTTTGTTGCCATTAGCATCAGAAATGTTTAAGAATGAACATAAGCTCAAAAACCTACGTCCAGCCTGGATTCTGAGTGAATTCCATGGATGCAATGTGAACGCTTCCACTTACATGCTTCGAACTAACCAATGGAAGTATATAGCCTACTCTGATGGTGCTTCAGTATTGCCTCAACTCTTTGGTAAATTTGTTGAAATGTTTTTTAACTGTCTTATAATGTATAATGAGCTGACCTACATAGCATTGCCTAAAAGATCCAGTGATTATCTTTAAATAAACAAATAAATATCTGCTGCTCTTCATGCTGGGACAATCTAAAAAATGTTGCCAATGTGAGGAGCAGCTTCTTTGAAAATCAGCATTTGAATTCCAGAGCAAGTGCCCTAAGGTTTTTGATCTGAGTCTCAAGATTGAAACCACTGTTTTTTCTGATCAAAGTGTCTTCTAATTTCACAGTCAGTAGTCAGCACCCTCTCATGTACCTTGCTTTCAGCTGTTCTGGAGGATTAACACCTATATCTTATGAAGCCTGATATTCTACATATATTATTTAATTTTCACTCTAACCCACAAGATGATATCATTATCCTCATTTTATACAGAAGACTACAGGACAGAGGGATATAGACACCTGTGCAAGGTCTCACAGCTAAGAAGTGGCAGAACTGGGATTTCAACTCAATTCTAACTCCAAAATTCATGCTCTTCTTCTACTCTACAATATTGCTTTCTAGCTTCCCTACTCTATGAATTAATTTTCAAGCAGCATTATTAGAATTAAAGTTTTACTTATCCTTTGCCCCCTTTTTGCACAAAAAATATGTGCTAAAGCCATTAACGTTCATTTCTCCCTAAGTCCTTCCTAGTTACAAATGTCGAAATTATTAACTCAAAGTAATTCTTTAGGAGCCAAACTGATTAACGCCCTTAACTCTAAGAACAAAGATTCTTGGCGTCAAAAGGAGGTCCTTAAGTTGTCATCTTGGTGAACAATGGGCATCTCTTGCTCATTCACTGGTCATGTTTTGCAAAAAGCAGATGTGACTGTCAAAGGATCAGTGAGTGAGCCCACCTTTCCTGTAATCTCTAGGGTTTTACTAACATCTCTTTCCCAAAAAAGTGCCATCTGAAGTCACCTAACAAAGTCACAAATGTCTTCACAGGTCTTCTGACTAATGCACTCATATAGGCCCACAGAGATTTTTCCCTTGACATTCATTGTTCATTTACTAGCTTAAGTAAATTGTCATAAAATAGTTGATGTGCTATTTTTCCAATTATATTGGCATCCTAGTTATATCCTGTCTACCTACATCATAGATTAAAGGGTGTTTATGTTATCTGAAATATTTATCATTATTTTCTTGATGGTAGTGATTGAGAGAAGTTTTTATTTCCATGGCTCTCTGCTCACATGGACAGTATTGATAAATCTAACTGAAAAATCCAAACACAAAATGCTAATATATGTATAGAAAACTGGGAATAACTGAAGTTGCAAGAACATGATTTGGCTATATAAAGAATTCTTAAAGCTGGAATGTTTGGGACTGTTGAAATAGGACAATATTAGCATTACTGTTTGTTTTATTTCTGTCTGTACGTCAAAGTAAGCAAGGCATCAAAATCAGGAAGAATTAGGACTAAGCCAGCTTACTAGTAATAAGGGTTTGACTGTTTCTGCCATCTAAGAATAGATTTTTAAAAATGAGATAGCAGGATGATGGTAGGAAGGAAGATAATTTAGACATACATTTAGAGGGGTGTTTAACTTTCAGTATATTATTTTACCATTTATACTATCCTTAATTTTACTATACCAAGAGAAACTGAAAATAAAAATAAATCTTAATACGTCAGAGAGTAATGGCATTCTAAAAATGTTTTTGTAGTAGGTAACTATTTTGACAGGTATTTAATTTCTTTTTCTTTCAGATCTTTCCTCAGATCCAGATGAACTAACAAATATTGCCACAAAATTTCCAGAAATCACTTGTTCTTTGGATCAGAAGCTTCGTTCCATTATAAACTATCCTAAAGTTTCTGCTTCTGTCCACCAGTACAATAAAGAGCAGTTTATTAAGTGGAAACAAAGTGTAGGGCAAAACTATTCAACTGTTATTGCAAACCTGAGATGGCATCAGGACTGGCTGAAAGAACCGAGGAAGTATGAAAGCGCGATTGATCAGTGGCTTAAAACCCGCACCAATGCTAACGAATTTTGAACAAAAAAAGAAAAGAATGTTCCGGAGCTACACAGAAGTATCTTAAAATATCACGATTAATTATGTCTTAAACACTAGTTTTAATAATGATTTATTTTTACTTTTAAAAATCTACTCTTTTAAATAAAAACAAATCATTATAGAATTATATATATTCACAAATGATTACTATCAAGACTGACTCATTCTTACCAATGGAAGTATTGAAACGATGGAAGCAAATAGTATAATATAAAGTTATAGTCTTCTGAGTAAGATGGAATATAAAATATTTAACAGTTATTGATTACTTATGAGCCATAAAATAGTTATTTGTGACTATTTGATGGTGTCTGATAAGTTATTTGCACCTGATGGGACATGGACCATTTGTGTGTATTTGATGGGGGTATTTGATAGGACACAGACCCTGGATATGGCTGGCTTTGTTACTGTATTTTTAAAATAGTACATGCACAAGGTACAACCTTCAGAAAGTACAAAAGAGTTAACAGTGAGCATGATGGCTCCTTCCTTTTCCGGCCACCAAGCCACACTCTTCCCCTTCCTGGAAGCCTCTATAGTAACCACCTGCCTATATATCCTTTTAGAGACAGAACATACATCCACAAACAAACTTTATGTTCTTTTTTCTCCCACACACAAATGATGGCATACTATCTAAAATGCTCTACCGCTTGTTTTGTTTTTTTTTTCCACTTAAGAATAAATACCTAGAAGAGAAATTACTGAGGTAAGTCTGTATCTAGCAAAATTATACTAGATACTAGCAAATTACCCCCAAAGAAGTTAAACCAACTTAACTCTCACCAGGAATGCATGTCCTCGCATCCTTTGCCAACCTGATATATTAAAACAACATTATTTTTATTTTTATGAATAAGGTAGATCATATTTTCATATATTTAATAGCCATTGGAGTTTACTGTGAACTCTCCTGTTTCTATTCTTTGCCTATTTTTTATGTTGGTTATCGGTCTTTTTTGTTACAGGCATGCTGTAGATATTAACTCTTTGTCTGCAAAAGAAGCTGCAGTTTTTTTTTCCTTTTTGTAATTTGTCTTTTGACTTGGTTCTGGTATTTTACACATGTAGAAACTGGTATTTTCAAATTATCAAATTTATGAATCTTGGCTTTTGTGACTTTGGGATATTGTGTTAGATATATTTAAAATAGTCTTCCCCACTTATCTTCTTTTAGAGTTTTATTTTTCATCTATCTAAAATGTATTACAAATTAGAGCTCTAACTTTAGTTTGTTTTTTTAAGATGGATACCCAATCGACCTTTTATTGAGTAAACTAACATTTTTCCCATTGGTTAGAAAATGTCACTTCATTGGTTAGAAAATGTCACTTCATTGGTTAAAAAATGTCACTTCATATAACATCTTTTATTGAATACATTATCTTTTCCTCTATTGTTTTAAAATGCCATTTATCATAAGCCAAAGTCTCATTTACATTTAGGTCTTTTCAGAACATTTTTTATTTTGCAGTGGACCATTCTATTTTGTTTATTAATGTGGTAGTCAATATCTGGTCAGACTAGTCCTTTTGCAATAGTTTTGTTTTTCAGAATTGTCCTGGCTACTCTTGCTAATTTTTTTTCCATACAAATTTAGAATATGCTTGTCTAGTTCCAAAAATGAAAAATCATGTTAGTCTTTTATATGAAATCACATTAAATGTATAGCCTAATTTAGAGAAAATTAAATTCCTTACGATATTCGGTTATTCTAAAGAAGAGTATGCTTTTCTCTTTTTTCAAGTCTTCTTTTATAACACTCAATAATATTCTAAGTTTTCTTTATAGAGATCAATTTCTTCATTGAGATTTTTGGAAAGTTGGGACCTTTGAAAAAAAATGCCACCTGAGCCCCACCCCACACCAACTGATTTAGAATTCTAGGAATGGCACCTGGGCACTATTTTGTCCTTATTGTTTTGTTTATTAAGTCCTCCAGCTGATGATCCTAATGTGTAGCCAGAGGTGAGCTTATTCCTTTTGGTTTTATCGTTTGTTGGTGGTGGTACTATTTTAAGTGAATCTTTCTTCCATTATATCTTCTAACTGGTTGTCATTTATACATGCAAACTCTATTTCTATGTATTATGTACCAAGCCACCTTATTGTTTATAATAGTTTTTTAGTTGGTATCTTATATTTTCCAGGTTAAAAAAAGCTTATCTGCATTTAATTTTACTTAACTTTATTTTTCAAACTATCTTTGAAATTTTCTTTGAGCCAGTTCACCTCCTTTATCATTCTTCAGTGAATTTATATGAGCTTATCTTTGTAGTTATGTATGAAAATTAAAGTTTAGATTAGTCTTACTGGGTATTAAACCATATTATAAATCACTAAATCAAACTAAGAACTTGGTGATGAGGGACCATGAGCAAGAAAGAGATGTCTCAAGACTAACTAGGTGGAAGAAGCTCAATGTGGAAAACAGAAAAAAGCTAGACCTGTACTAGAACTATTCCCTTCTACACTGGTCAAATTCTCAGATAAGATTTTTACCCTTCTTTTTCTTTTTCAAGTTACAAAGCAGAATCTTAAGAGCATAATAATTCTTAGGTCAGAAAAATTAGTTACATAATTTTGAAAATAAAATAAAACTTAGAAGAATATATGACACAACCAAAACTATATTCAGAAGAATGTTCTTAACCTTAAACTTTTTTTTATTAAGAAAAATAAAAATAAATAAACTGTTCAATTTAGGAAGTTAGAAAACAAAATAAACATAAGTTTTGTTTTGTAAGATTTATGGTAAAGAACGGGTATCCTTAAATAATGTTTTGAGAGTTTTGTTTCCACATAGGGAAGGGAAAGCTGCAAGGGAATACTGCTCCCACGTTAACAAAAACCAAAAGGGGGTGAAAAAGCTAGATAATCTACAAAATCAAAATAAACTTAATAAACAAAATAAACCCTTTCTCAGTCTATCAGAGGACTGAAGTTGCAAGGCACCAGGTGAACCAAATTCAAAAGAGTGGCAAGCCCCTCTGCGGAGTGGTGAGACAAATGTTCCACCTTTGGCAGAATGTGGGAGGGAAAACTAGCAACCGAAAAAGTGGGTAAGAAAACAACTGATATTTTGACAAATTTTTAAAAGCCAAATGTGTGTGAAAATAACTGTAGAAACTCTGGGAGCCCCAGACACAAGGGACACCACCCCAGTAATGAGCTTTTTTTCACAGACCTCAGCCCACATTGATGAGAAAGGTTGGGAGCACGGCAGCAGACCTGATGGAGACCCTTCAGTGGGAAAGAGACAAGCATAAAACCCAGAACCTTGCTCACACACAGCAAAACTCTTCTGCCACTGGAGCAGGAGCAGGAAACCCTCCCCGCCTCAGTCCTCAGAAAAAGGTCAGCAGTCACTGAGAAGGGGCAGATAACAGCAAAAGCTATCTACCACTGGGGGGTTGGACAGGCAGGAAACAGTGGTGCCCATGACCCTGCACTGACAGCAAAGAGCTCAACAGGGAACAGGAGACTCAAGTCAAAGGCAGAGTCCGGCTGCCATTGGGGGAGGGACAGGAGTGCGGGGGAAGTCCTACTGTTGAGGCTCAGGCCCTCAGAGCCTGCGGAAGACAGACTAGACTAGCAGAGCCAAGGAAACCAGCCTGTGCCCACCGTGAGCAGCAGCACTGGGAACAGCAGAAGCATGGGGAGAGAAACTACCCTACCCCAGGGCTAGGCTGTAGATCTGCTTAAAGTTGGGAGTAGAGCAGGAACACTGAGAAAAACCCTCCAGCATTCAAGGCATCGCACTAAAGATAAAAGTATGGAGGAGTTTGAAGTCTGTAGTATAATAATAACTACGGCAACAACAAAACCCAAACTTAGCTCAATACTGATTAGATTTAGTCAACCTCCCACGTTATGGCCTGACAGATGAAAAGGCATGCCCATTTTCAGGAGTATTTACATTTACCATTTACATCAGTTACCATTATTTTTTTACATATAATGTCTGGCTTTCAGTCAAATTTACAAGGCAAAAAAGCAAGAAAAGACCCATTTTCAAAAACTAAAGCAGAAAACAGGACCAGACTGAGAGATGGCCCAGAAGTTGAAGCTATCAGAAAGTGACTTGAAAATACTATGATAAATTTACTGAAGAACCTAGTGGAAAATTTAGACAATATGCATGAGCAGATAGGGAATTTCAGCGGAAAGACAGAAACTATAAAAAGAATAAAACTGATTCACTAGAAATTAAAAATATCTGCTTCGTCTAATCTGCTAATTCCCTCTAATGTAGTTTTCATTTCACTTATTGTATTCATTTCTGATTGGTTCTTTTTTATGTTTCCTATCTTTTCATTAAAGTTCTCACTGAGTTCTTTCATCTGGGGCATGTTTCTTTGCCTTCTCATTGTGGCTGCCTCCCTCTTTGTTTCCATGTATGAGGTAGAGCGGCTATATCTCCCAGTCTTGGCAGAGTGGCTTTATGTAGTAAGTGTCCAGTGGGTCCCAGTGGTGTAGTCTCCCTGGTCATCTGAGCCAGTTGCTCCAGGTATGTCCCTTGTGTGGGTTCTGTGTGCCCTACTGTTGTAGTTGAGCCTTTATTGCTGTTGGCATGTCAATGGGAAGGATGGACCCTCAGGCTGATTGGTTGTGAGGACTGGCCATGACTGCAGTGTAGAAGCTATTGTGCAGAGGTTGACCCCACGAAGCAGGGTGTATTATTTGTGGAGGTAAGGTTGGGTGGTGCTCTGGTGTGGTGTGAAGCTTGCCATCAGGCGTGTTGGTTCTGGGGCCTCTTGGGAGGGGTTCTGCCACTGCTTGTGCCCTGCCTATGGCCACCTGGTATTAGCTACAAAGTGATCTGCAGATGGGGGCTTGGGGCTGCTTAGCAAGAGGTACAAAGCAAGCTGAGGCCGGATGCTACTTCTGAGATTTGTGGACCTTTGAGAAATTTAGAAAATTTAGAAAAGTCCACAGCATGAGCTGAGATAGGCCATTTGTATGTAAAAGCCACTGGAAGCAGCTTTTGGTAGGCCCAAAAGTTGGTGTGGGGTAGGTCTCAGGGAATCACCAGGGCAAGGTGAACAGTGTTAGCCAGGTTGATGGAGACTCAGATATGGCTACTGCAAGATGGGTGACGGGGAGGGCTCAGCAAAGGCACAATGGCCTCTGACAGCACTTCTGTCTGGGAGAAAGCTGCCCCTCCAGACAATTCAGTTCTTCTCCATATGTCCCTGGTCCTTTTCGAGCTGCTGTTCTAAGTGTAGTCCCAAACAAGATGAACCCGAAGAGGCCCACACCAAGACACATCATAGTTAAAATGCCAAGGGTTAAAG